AATATATAAAGGTAAGAGTTTAAAACGAACCGCGTTAGCTCTGGTTGCACAGCTCTATATGAACTGCAGGAATAACTTGTCGTCGCCTGTCTATTTGCAGCCATTTGCGCGTTATCTTTGTGGACAGAATCATGTACGGCTTTACATCCCAACACGCTGCCCAACTTGTGGCTCTGTGTCTGTCTTCCCTGTAAATTTTATGTCTATGAACACCGGAACGTTAGCGGTTAACGAATCAGCGCTAACCTCATCATACAGGTTCAGCCCGGTGAGGAGCTTTCGCGCTCGCCTCGTAGTCACGCATCACGCTGGTCTTATATTATTATTATTATTATTATTATTATTATTATTATTATTATTATTATTATTATTTTCCAGTTAAACGGTGCATAAAACCATATCAAATGCTTTGTCCGCATAGCCAGAGTTAATCCGCGCGGCCGCACAGAGATCTGAGAAACTCGTCCCTCAAACTTGAGCAACCAAAATAGTTTCTGTGATTCTTATTAAAAACTCAACAGACACCTAATGGAAGAGCTGCTAAAGCAACATTAGCACCATTGAATTAAATTTCCTGTTTGTTGCGCCTTGGGCCGGTCCAAGGCTGTATGAGGCCTGGAGCAGAATTTGACTTATGGGCCCCTCTTGCTGCTAAAAACATCAGCACCTTTAAGACCTTTGTTAGATTTAGTGAAATCTGGGAGAGGGGGAGTAGTTTAATTAGCCAACCTAAAAAGCAATAAATTATAATTGCAGTTTACTAATTTGTAGAGCTCAAACTTAAAGATTAAACTCACAGCTGTGGTAACAAACCAATCTAACTATGAATATTGTAATATTGTTCTTTGAACTTTTACAAAGTAAACTTGCCAGCTCCTTAAAATCTTAAATTTAAATGTTAACCAATTTAAATAGTAATTTTTGTATGCTGAAACCATTAAGTCAAATTTAGCAGCATTGATCATCTCAATAAACAAATGTTATATTTATGTATCTGTGGTCTGTGTTAAAATATTAGCATTTATGGGGCCCTGAAGCCCTGGGGGGTCTGATGGAGCCACTGACTTAATTTGGATTAAGCAAAAGTGCAAATAACTGATATTATTTTTAAATGTATATTTTTTGATTAGTTGTTTTTAAGACTAGTTGTGGATTCAAATAGTGTTTCACTGGTGATGTCTTCCCGTAACATATTATTACTTAGTAATATTTTTACTTTTCTTGTCTGCATAACATCTTTAATACAAAACACGGTGGGCTGCCAGTGGACTGCCTCGGTGCCCCGACCGCAAGTTTTCTGGGGGAAACCCTGGATTATACACAAATTTATCTAGTAATAGCCTCGACATCAATAAGGAGGTTTGGAAGTTTTCTATGGCAATTTCTCTATTATGTGCTTCAGCTGTGCCGCTTGGACAGAAGTGTAACCATTTTTTCTTTTGTCATTATTTACTTTTATCCTTGCAATGTAGAACAAGTATTCTAGAATTAAAAACAAATTTCAAGTTCTTATTCGCCAGTTTTAGCAGCTAAGGTGGCTGTTGTGTGTGTGTGTGAGTGTGTGTATGTGTACGTGTGTATGTGCGTGCGTGCGTGTGTGTATGTGTGTTTGAACGAAGCCTCCCACCGCACCCATTGGTTAATTCTGTTGCCTCATAGCAAGATGATCCCAGGTTTAAATCTGCATGGAATTTGCATGTTCTCCATGTTCATTGTTGGTTCTCTCTGGGTCCTCCAGCTTCCAGAAACATGGCCATTAGGTTAACTGGTCTCAGGGGTGTCAAACTCCAGTCCTCAAGGGCCACTGTCCTGCAGTTTTTAGATGTGCCACAGGTACAAAACACTGGAATGAAATGGCTTAATTACTTCCTTCTTGGGTAGATAACTTCTCCAGAGCCTTGCTAATGACCTAATTCTTCTATTAAGGTGGTGCAGCAGAGGATCATCTAAAGGTTGAAGGACAGCGGCCCTTGAGGACGGGAGTTTGAAAACTGTGCTCTAAATACACTGAGGTAAGTGTGTGCGTGTTTATGGTTGTTTGTTCTGTGTTGCCTGTGATGGTATAGCAACCTGTTCTGTTTAATGTATCCACTTGTTATTTTTGAAGACCAGAGGGACCTCAGAGGCGACTCGTCATTACTGGTTTATGACGGATGTTTTGTGAAAGTGATCAGTCTTATAACAGTAAATTCATCACACATCTTGCTCAATAAAAGAGCAAGATGTGTGATGATTTTATTCTCACACCTAAAATCATCACATAATTTCAGCTTTCAAAATTTTGAAAATAAAGAGTATATTTCTATTTGCCTATATTGTAACCATATAGGAATAAAACAGACCACCTTTAACATATATGTAACATGTTTAACTGAAGGTTGAGAAAATCATTTGGACTCTCTAGTGAGGTTTGCTTTGAAATGTGTTTGTGATAGATGAACACATTTCACACTCTGCTTTTGGCCCAACGTTGCCCCTGCATCACGGTGGGAAACCAGAGCCTGTCTCAGCAGTGAATTGCAGGCAATAAATGAGGAACAACCAGCTGAGAGCGTCAGTCTAAATCAAAGACATATATAGTGTGTTTTCAAAGTTTTCACATCTATTGAACCTTTTTACATCTTGTCACATTTCCAGTCACAAACATTAAAGTATTTTATAGAAAGGATCTGTAACTGGTTCACTGTCCATCAAAACAACAACTATAAACAGCCAAAAAGGTGATGTGGATCAATGCATATTAATGAGTTAGAATGTCCAGTCAAAGTCCAGCCCTAACTTTAGGACATGTGGTAAAATGTACTGTTCACAGACACTCTGATGAGACCTGTGATGTTTTGCAAAGGAAAATGGGGGCAAATTGTTTCAGGATTCAGTACCTCCAAAGCTGCAACTGTAATGTTTAATTGTAAAAATATTTAAAAACAATAGATTATTTTTTTGCACAACAAAATGGAAAAAAGTCAAGGGACATGAAAACGTTTTCAAGGCACTGTATGGGACACCCTGCATTCCTACACTTACGTGTAAAGTCAGTTTGAACTAACTAAACCATCACCTTACAGGTTTCCATACAGTGGGAGGAAACCGGAGCACACAGAGGAAATGCAAACATCAGAAACTCTTAAACCAACTTCATCCAATCGTCCAGACTTTACTGTCATCTAGTGGATACTCTCAATACTCCGTTTATTTGACCTGCTACATAAGGGATGCCCAAAAGGTCATTTTTAAACTCTATGGACTTACTAAGAAAACCAAAACTGTTATCATCTCAGTCAGATACAGTAGTCTGTCGGAACTCCTTTGGTGACTCTTTAGGAAATCACAGATGGCCAAAAATAGTCACATTTTTATATTTAGTCCAAAACAACCCATTTTAGAAACAGCATGAGCTTTGTGCTTCATGTTTTTAAATGCTAAAGGACCGTATGTCCTCCTACTAGCAGATCTCTCTGACTCTTGTAGCTGCAGCGGTAATCCAGTTTTTTGGGGGGTTTTGTATGGACTGTCAAGAATGGTGTGTTGGCTGCAGGTATTTGAAACGTCTATGAAATATTGAAAGTTGAACCAGTACCTATAAAAAGTAAATCCAAATTAAATAAATAAGTCAAGATACTTCAAAGGACGAATGTCTCTCATCATCTGGAAATTCATCGTGAATATTTTTTGGCCATATTTATATTTGTAAGACATTTTAAATCAAATAAGTAAAATAACAAAAAACAAAACATCAACCTGTTAACGTACTGTCACAGCAATTTATTTTGTCTTTCGCATGTTCTTACTACTTAAGGTGATACTCACCCTAAACTTGCCATGAAAGATGACATCTCGTAGAAAATGTTGAGCGGACCCAGAGGCTGAAGACTGCTGAGGTTCTGAGATTGCTTCCTCTGTCATAGTTTAGGCAGAACAGAGACATAAACCCACCAGGAAGAAGTCTCAGAGCAAATATCCTATGTTGTGCTCGGCAAGTTAATGTGTGTCTTCTGTGTGAAATATCCAGTTACAGGACAGTGCATGAATAAACCTTATGCTGCCTCTCCCTTTTTCTGACTCGCAATTTTTCCGTGCTTGTCTCCGTCTAGCTCTCCGTGTGGCTGTTTCCATCTGGAATGTGGAGTCGCTGTAGTGAGTCTCTAGCCTTGTTACTTGAGACACCGTCTGTGAGCCAAGATCTAAACTTAGACAACGATAAACCTCTGAACAGAAAGTTCCCTCCCTCACTTTCTCTGCATTTCCTCAGTTGTAATAATTAAAGGATTGAGCACCTCAAGACAAAGCCCACTTCTCTCACTGTCTGGCTGTCTACCAATGACAGGCAAGATCAAATGGGATGTGAGAAGAGTGAACTACTTTGAAAAGAAACTCCAATAATCCTAAAGAAATATTTGACTCTAAAAACCCAAAGGTACAAATTTATATGTTATTAAAAAACTACTACCCTAAAATGTATTTCAAGCTAATGTTTCTATTTTTATTGATCTTATATCAGGTCATATGTGACTCACGATGTTTTGCTCTGTAGGTGTTTGGGTTTGAGTTTATGGATCGAGATAAGACTTGTTTTGTTGTTGTTTTTTTGTTGTTGTTGTTGTCTACTTTTTTTAATGTAATTTTTTTTCTACTTGGCATTTTAGTCTCAATTTTATAACACCAAATAAGGGGATTTGCTTACCAATTAATTCCTGCAGAACATACAAACTCCAGTTTCTGCAAACTCAGACTGTAGTTCATTCTGAGGAGGGAATTGCACTGCACTGTTGAATTTTCACAAAGGGGGCAGACATGATACAAAAGTAAAAATATATCCCTCTAGAGCTTGATGTTTGATATTACAAATATTTTTTGTAATATACAATAAACCATAGAAGCAGAGCATGAATTTCTAACATTGAAACAGATTGTGATTTACTTATACTTGGATGAACTCTAAGCCATGCAACATAGAAATTGTTGGAATAACCCAGCAATTTCTATGAAAAGATCTGCTGTTGTAGATATTTATTGTAGTTATTCTTTTTTATTATTTTGAAATAAATTGTATAGACGTTGTTAGATTTATTACCAGCATTCCAGTTCCTAAAGTGTAACCTCTTTATCTGGAATAACATGAAACTTAAGTTTCTGTTTTAAGTTTTCTAGTTGAGAACAAATCATCCATTCCATGGTCAGCATCTCCAAGTAATAATTCTATTTGCCTTGTAAGCAACTATCACACTACTTAATGAGGAGCAGCTGTGCAGAGCCTGGAGGAAAAGGCTACATGCTAATTATGAAAATAATAATTAAAAAAAACATTCAAAAAATAATGAAAACTTGTTTTGTGCAAATGATTATTGTCAATGTTTAAAGTGCAAAGCTATATTACATGCTTTTAAAAGTGTTTTTAATAAAAGACAAGGGTGCTCTTAATGTGCTGTACAATGTACCACAGCAGAAATGGTACCAATAACCAATAACAAAGACCTCTTCATAACAGGCTGACAAAAGTGCCTACAGACAGTAGCTATATATATATAAAAATAAAAAAAAAACATCTGGAATCAATTGGAAGTTTGTAAGCCTGGAACATATACATCCTGAAGTCACAAACATTCCTTGAAGTTATCATTGCCCACAAATGTTCAAGCAAATATAAATTAAGTTATAATAATTTTTGAAATTATTAGTAATTTTTGAAATTTTTGAAATATTATATTTCTAATATGGAGGAACATATAACTAGTTAATGTAGGTGCAAAATCATTACATCCACATACAGACAATTGTGTGCCTTAGTATTGGGTTCCATTATGTAATCAGCTTCTGTCCTTTGGCTCCACGTGAGGGGAAATGATGCACATGTTTCTGGACAAACAGGATCAAACACACTTTAACGCAACTGAGAAATACTTAAATGAACAACAAACATAGGAACCCTTCTCCCACTAATAATTGATCCTTTCAAATAGCAAATATACCAGAGATAGAGAGACTAAAAGTAGAAGTCAGGCTTAGAAATTGTAAAACAGGAGAAAGTTCAAACAAAACCTCATATGACAACCTGAGAGGAAACAAAAAATTTTTCTTTCATTTGGTCTTCCGTTTTACTATAGACTATGTCAGAGTTAGGTGACTAAGCAAAAAATAATAATAATAAAAATAATAATAATAAAAATAATAATTCAATTTCAATCAAAGAAGCGCAACTCTATATATTTGACAGCAGGGTGTACTACTGTTGGCATAGCATTTGGTTTTAGCTTGTGAATGTTAGAGCCTGTTAGTTTTGCTCGTACAAATGACGTCTGACTTCAAAGTCTTCTTGAGAGAAATGTTGAGGTCACAAATGTAGGTCCTTTGGAAGTTGTTTTCGGCTCTGGTTCTCTCCCACTGCGCACTTTTTTTTTTTTTCATGTGGGAAGCAATCCATATTCACCTCACTGTTTTTTTGTTGTTTTTTTTAATTACAGCCAATAGGGACCAGGTAAAGTCAGCCGTCCTGGGTTTACTCTGTAGGTCCCAATACTGAATGGACCAAATGACGACGTCAACCCATCTGTGAAAAAATGGCGGCCTCCATCGTTGAAAATATATGACAAAAAATATACATTTGTAAAGTAATTATGAGTTTTGGCATATCACTAACAGCAATTTTTTTAGTTAATTAAAAATTACAACATATTTAACCCAACATGTTCAACTAATATTGGATCACTTTAAGAGAAAAATGAAAGTAAAGATTAGCCATGGGGCGTCCTAATCTTTCACGTAAGAAATAACAAAACTTTCCTAATTCAACATGTCTAATTTCTTAATTTTAACACAACTCTTTGTTTATAGACAAAATTATCATACAGCACTACTACAAAACATTCTTTCCTGCTCTGGGAAAGAATGTGGAACTAAGATATGGTGAAGAGAGAAGACTTTCCTTTCAACTGTGTTGCTCTTTTATTCAGTGGGACAGTTTGAATGTGTGACTTCTTTTTTATTGGTGTTAACTTTTGGTAGGAACATCCCTGAGAAGCCGATGACATTTCTCTCAAATATATTAAATAGTGACCAAAATATTAAACTGCATAAATCTCCCTTTGTGAAGCAGTTCCAGGAAACTATTCCATTTTCTGAGACTGTTTACTTTAAAAGAAACAACTTCTAGAAATTTCTGTGGAACCTCTCATTCGTAACATTTAATCCTCCAGGCTTATGTAACATAACAGAAACATCCGCTTGTCAGCATATTTTTAGACATTTTAAGAATCATGCAAAGGAAGGAAGTGGAGACCTCCGAGCCCAGGCTGTCAGGCTCCCAAAGGATAACACATGTTTGACGAGAAACAACATTTAGAGTTCAAAAGTCAGTTCTCACAGTAAACAGAACAAAGTGGCGTTAGTGTTCACATATAGTTCCTCAAATGTTCTAACAGCAACACTTAGCACTTTATGTACAGTTGTCCAAGTACTCTTTTAATTAGTTTAATTAAGTTTTAAAATGATTTACATTTTAAAACTTAATTTTTATTGATTTGAATCAACATGTAAATATTTAAAGAAAATAGATAATCTACTTTAAGATGAGATAGGCATTTTTATTTCAAATCAAGTTATATTTTCTGGACAAGCAAACTTTCTTGTATAGTCACATGTATTAATTGTTACAGGGTTGAAGGCAGGTTTCTTATTAAAAGTTCATGTGAAAATAGCAACAGAATCTGGGTTCTGTTTGTCTGAAAGCCTAAAGTAAATCAACAAATTGCAGCCATGTTAAATCATAAATCTTGATTTGTGACACTATGCTTGCTCAGGAAGTAGGAGTTCATCGTTTAACCATTGGGTTGGCAGTTTGAATCCCACTCCGTCCATATTGTGTCTTTGGACAAGACACTTCTCCAACCTTGCCTGCAGGTACACAGCAAATTCAAAAATGTTAGATTTCCAGTGTAACTGTTGCATATTAAAAATACAGTGTTAATTCAACAACATGAGTGTTGAACTAAAGAGTTTCAAAGAGTTAAACTAAAAGCAATGCAGCCCAGTGTTGATTTATAAATTAACACTAACTGTAACTCAGTCTGATTCAGAAATCATCAGACAGTTCCTCCCACAATTGTAATATTTGTGACATCACAACAATGAAGGAACAACAGTTAAGATGACAGTTTCAACAGTGACTTGGTGAAGACTTACAGAGGACTGAAATGGGAGGCAGACAATGACTTAACTAAATTTTTTTTAATCACATCTGTAAGAAATGTTAATAGAGCCCTCTTCTGTTAACAATCATATACTATATCCCAGTAGGTTATATAGTAGGGTGCTCCATTGTTGACTCATGGTTGCTAAAAACCTTACCAGACTGACTGATTTTAGTGACATAGTGGGTGTAAAATATTGAATAAAATGTTGTGCTACATGACTGGCTTTATTTTCACTCTTACATTTAACTTTATGACACACAAATCTACAAATGAATCGTCCTTATTGTCTCCAGGTGCATTCTGGGTAAAGCTTGTCACCAACGTCATCATCAGTCACTTGGCAACAAATGGCAAACTAGCTAGAGCATTTCTACGGACTACGTTAACATGTTTTGAATTTGTGTTGTTTCATCATTAGTGACCAGTCGCCCGATGTTTCTGTTCTTCTCTTGGTTTGTTGTACTTCATGTCAGATGGATTTCAGAATGACATAGTCGCTCTCTGTGGTGATGAAGCTTGTTAGCTCCGCTGTTGCGGGCATGTCCATGTTGTAAAGTTAAATTATCACGAGCTTTATTATTTGGGCCCGGTCATTAGCCTCTTGTTCCGCTACTGCGTCACATGTTTGCCTGGACCTTATTATAACAAGGTAAGTTCCACGTTAAAATGATCACGTTTTTGACCATTTTTTATGGAGGCATTAATTTTCCGTTTACGCAAGAGTATCGATTCATATACATAGTTCCCTTAACATACGATTATTTGTTTGGATATCACGGTATATACGACTGTTCATTATCTTAACCCAGGAGTTTCCAAAGTCGGTCCTCGAGGGCCTGCATCCTGGATGTTTTAGTTCTCTCCCTGGCTTAAATGATGGATCAAATGATCTGGATCAAATGATGGCTCATTAGAGACCTAAGGAGAACATTGACTTGCTGAGGAGGTTGTTACTACCACTAGAGAGAGAACTAAAACATCCAGGATGCCGGCCCTCGAAGACCGACTTTGGACACCTGTCTTAACCGAACATTAAAACTGTCAGGAAAATCTGGAGGCCATTTGAGTTAACATTATTTAGCTGCGGGGTCGTTTTCTTTAAGTTTTTGACTGTATACTACAAAATGGGGGAGTGGCTGTGCTGGGCCATTGGCTT